GTTTGGGCTTTGCTTCTATAAAGATTGACAGCCTTGGAGACCCTGTGGGCAGTTCCACTCTGTCCTCTAGGGGCGCTGTGGGTCAGAATCGACTCCACGGCAGTGGGTGTGGTTTGGGCTTTGCTTCAGTGAAGATTGACAGCCTGGGAAACCCCCTGGGGCAGTTCCACTCTGTCCTCTAGGGGCGCTGTGGGTGGGAATCAACCTCAAAGCAGTGGGTGTGGTTTTGGTTTCAATATCCCTCCACCCCTCTGTCCTCTCACTGGTTTTTCTCTGGACAACCCCTGACAGAGACAACAGGCCAGACCTCAGAGGCCACCTGGTCTGACTTGCTCACAGACCCCGCCAGCAGCAGGTCTGCCACTGCTCCTGGGTCTCAGCACACCTGGGTCTCCGTGGGAGGGTCCTTTCCCGTTCCCTCCTGCGAGCGGTCCACCTGGCTGCTCCTCACCTGGTTCTTATAGCCCTTATCGACGCCCAAGGTCTGGGTGCAGAAGCGGTGCCTCACGCCGAAGTGCCCCATCAGGTAGGCCAGGTCAATGGTCCAGATACTGCGGGTCAGCTGCAGCGCCTGCAGGGCACTATCAAACTCCCCTTCGTCCAGCTGCCCCAGGTACCTGGCACAGAGGGGCACTGAGGCGAGACCACGCACCACCCAGGCCCACCACCCTCCCGGGGAGTGGGGCAGTCCTGCCCACTGCTGCCCAGCACAGCCTGGGGCCACTGGCGCCACCCTGGCCTCGGAGCCTGCTTCTTGATTGCCTCGTGCTGTGTGACCTCGCTCAAACACTGCCCTCTCTGGGCTCTAGGCACATAGGTGAGTTCCTAAGCTTCAGCCACAGAGCCCTGCCATTGTCCCCACCTTCTGACCTGCAGCCTTAGGGCGCAAAACAGAAGTTGCTCTCAACTCCAGGCAACGGAGGACGGAAATTCCTGCACCAGGTGAGACCTGAGCAACCTTCCAGCCTCAGCTGCAAGGCTGAGGCTCCCACAGCCAGGAGCCGGAGGCCAGAGGCTGGAGGGCCCCTGTCCCAGGTATGGGCCACATCTGAGCAGCACGTGGGGCTTCCCAGCCAGCGCCAGAGCCCTGGGACTTGGCCCAGGGGTGGAGGAGGGAGAGAGCGCATTACCTGGCCCAGCCCTTGCCCGCTTTGCATATGGCACTGCCCCACCAGAAGGAAGCCGGCCTCCCCCAGTCCCGATGACAGCAGCCACTCACGGCAGCCCCCAGTCTCAACCACGAGGCCCAAGGGCAGTAGCCCCCCAATCTCCCTGCAACCCCAGCACCCACTGACTGGTGCCCGCGACCGCCGAGGGCAGTGCCCCGCCCCCTGGGCCCACTCACCGAAGCACCATCTTGGAGCAGGCCAGGCCACAATCCCAGTGGTGTAACTGCTGGATGATGGGCACGGGCAACTGCACAAAGTCCCCTGCGCAGGAACACAGAGGCCACACCCGTCATAGTCTGCATCCCTGGCCAGGGCCCTGCAGCGGCTCTCGGGGTGGGGGTTGGGGGGGCAGCCACGCTACTCAGAACCTCGCGGTGGGGAGGCAGCAGCCGTGGCAGACATCCCTGCCCTCACCAGGCCCACCTTTGGGCAGAACCGTCACCTGGCTGCCCGGCAACTCTGCCTATACTCTCTCTTCATGCAGTTCATGAAGCCCCGCCCCCTACACGAGCCCACAGCCCGCCAGGCCTCGCCGTCCCAGCTCCTCTCTGGGCATGCGCTGGCAGGCCCAGGGCTGATCCGCTTCCTGTTATAATCTCGGGGCCAGCACGAGGGAGGCAGACAGCAGTCAGGTCCCATTCCCAAGGGCCCTGAGGTATCCTGACTCCAGAGCCCCTGGAAGCACGCCCTCCGGGGATGGGGGTGGGGCAGCATGAGCAGTGTGACATGCTTTGCTTGCCGTCGCCCGCCCTCTCCAAGCCCCTAGGACCTCGTGTTTGTCCGCACCACAGCAGAGAGGGACCCTTGTTGTTGTTGTTATGTGCCGTCGAGTCAGACCTGACTCATAGCGACCCCTCCTTGGGTTTCCGAGGCAGTATCACTACGGAAGTAGGATTGCCCAACCTTCCTTCCGAGGAGTGGCTAGTGGGTTTGAACCGCCAGCCGTCTGGTTAGCAGTCAAGTGCCTTACCACTATGCTACCAGAGCTCCCAGAGGGACCCTGGCAGACCCCAAACTTCCTTGGGCTGCACTGAGCGCAAGCCACACCCACTGCTGCAGAGTCGGAGGACAAAGTGGAATTGCACCAGAGGGCCACCAAGGCTGTCAATCTTCACTGAAGCTGACTGCCTCCTGTTACAATCTCCCGAGGAGCGGCGGATGGGTTCAAACCACTGACCTTTTGGTTAGCAGCTGCATGCTTTAAACATTGTGCCACCAGGGCTGGATTAGGAGGGCTCTTAAATCCAAGGACTGGTGTCCTAAAGACAGACAGAGAGGCACGGAGAGAGACAGCCCCTTGAACACCGAGGCAGGGATGGAGTGACATGGTGAGAAGCTAAGGCAGACCTGGAACCAGGAGCTGGAAGGGCTGTCCCTGGAGCCTGCAGGAGAGCCCAGCCCTGTCAACACGAGGGCTCAGACTTCCAGCTTCCTGGGCTTGAGCAAATCGGATGCAAAGCCTCCTTTAAAAGAAGGACTGAGGTGCACCTGGCCCATGCCACGGTATTTTCAATTGCCTAGGCATGCAACAAGGGGCTCTGGTGGCATGGTGGGTAAGGCATGTGGCTGCTAACCAGAAGGTTGGTGGTTCAAATCCACCAGCCACCCTGCAAGAGGAAGATGGGGCAATCTACTTCTGTAAAGATTTACAGCCTTGGGAACCCACTGGGGGTCGCTATGAGTCAGAATCCACTTGATGGTCATGGGTTTGGTTTGGTTTTATGCACACAAAAGCTGAACAATGAATAGGAAGACGGAAGAAAAACTGATGCCTTTGAGTTGTGGTGTTGGCAAAGAATACTGAAAATACCATGGACTGCCAGAGGAACGAACAAATCTGTCCTGGAAGAAGTACAGCTGGAATGCTCCTTGGAAGTGAGAATGGCCAGACCTACTTTGGTCATGTTGTCAGAAGGGACCATTCCCTGGAGAAGGATGTCATGCTTGGTAAAGTGGAAGGTCAGCGAAAAAGGGGAAGGCCCTCCATGAGATGGACGGACACGGTGGCTGCAATGATGGACTCGGGCACAGCGAGGACTGGGAGGCTGGCGCAGGAGCGGGCAGTGTTTCCTTCTGTTGTACGTAGGGTCGCTGTCAGTTCAAAGTGACTTGACGGCACTTAACAACAACAGCAGCTTCTGCGGCTGGGAGACGGCAGGTTCCCGTGGTTTAAGCCACCTGCGTGTGATGAGCCGTGACAGTGGCCTTGGGGAGCTGGGCCTGGCTGTGCCTCACAGGGTGAGTTGGGAGAAGCCACAAGGAGGTACTTCCCCAGAGACGGAAAGGGGGAGTGGTAGGTGCTTGGGTGGGAGGGCAGGTGCAAGGGTTACCAGGCCTCCCACTGCGGGAGCCCAGGAATCCAGATGAGTTCCGAGTCTGCAGGACCAGCAGGGACTTCCCTGCACCGGACACCACCCCATTACTCATTCATGCCGCCCCCTCAGAGCGGAAGCCAGCTGCTCGTCTCCCACCTTAGCGGTGCCCGGGACTCTCCACGCTGAGCTGCTGGGGGGTCGCCAGCCCTGGCTCTCACCACGCCTGTGTGTGCCAGCCGAAGTGTCCACTCCCCGCGCCCGGGGCCGTCCTGGGCTTTCCAGCCTGTCTGTGCTGGCCCTGGCCTCAACAGCCCCTCAGCTCCTGCCTGAACCTGCCCCAACCTTCAGGCCTTTTCTGTGGCTGCACACCACACCGCCAATAACAGGCTCCAGTCCATGCGGCAGGCCGTGCACGGGCTGTGTGCCCTGCTGGGCTGACTGTGCCCTCCCAGGAGGCAGCCACCTGTGACTGTCCCCCGCAGTGCCATGGTGCCCCATGCCTCATTCCCCACACCACCACTGATGCACAGCGGGGTGTGGGAGCCGAATGAGTGTACACTGCCCCCTTGGCAAGCCACTTGACCTGCTTCCTACTCTGTGAGATGGCCACCGCGGACCCTGGCCCACTGGGTGCTGGGGACACCCAGGCAGGAATACACATAGGTGCTGCCATGACCCTGCCCCCAGCTGGGGCCTTGTACTCTGGCCTGGGCCAGGCTCTCTCCCCCTCCTTCTACTTAAAAACCAAACTCACTGCCAACAAGTCAATTCTGACTCATAGCGACCCCCACGGGGTTTCCGAGCGGGTAAATCTTTACTGAAGTAGATTGCCCAGTCTTCCTTCCGTGGAGTGGCTGATGGGTTTGAACCGCCAACCTTCTGGTTAGCAGTCCGATGCCTTAGGCACTAAGCCACCAGAGTGCCTTTCCTTCCACTTATCCCCCCCACCCCCCACAAACCCCGAGGCTGTGAACTGGACTCTGACTCGTGCCCCACCCCCACCCCCCACAAACCCCGAGGCTGTGAACTGGACTCTGACTCGTGGCAGACCCATGTGTCAGAGTAGAACTACTCAGTGGGGTTTTCAATGGCTAACTTTTCAGAGGTACATCATCAGGCCTCTCTTCTGAAGCACCTTGGCAGTGGGGTGCATGAGCCACGTGCAACCCAAGCAGCTGCCTTGGCAAGGAGCACGCGCCCTGCTCCCATGCTCTCCTCCTCCCACAGCCAGGGTTTTAGCTCTGCCTGACTCCTGCCTGGTCTTTGCCCCAAATTTACACGCAGCCGCCAAAGGAACACCCCCCCACCCCCACCCCCGTTTCCCAACACTTAGACCACAGCCCTCTCCCCTAGCCCAGGCCCCGCCCACCCAGCCCCAACAGCCCCACCCCCCTGCTCTAGTTACTCGGTGAACCCAGTAGGTTCATCCCGCCGCCCCAGGCCCCTCCTGGTCTCAGGTCTCAGCTCAAAGTCTCCTCTTCTGACAATATCTTCCTAACTATGGCTTTTTGGAAGGGGCAGGGACGCTTCTTAATAGCAACCTCTGTTTCACATAAACCCACGCTGTAGAGTGGATTCCGACTCACAGCGCCCCTAGAGGACAGAGTGGAACTGCCCCAGAGGGTCTCCAAGGCTGTCAATCTTCAAAGAAGCAGATTGCCTCATCTTTCTGCCAGGAAATAGCTGGTGGGTTCGAACCACCCACCTTTTGGTTAGCAGCTGAATACTTTAACCATTGCGTCACCATCGCTCCTTAGCAGCTAGCTCTACATCTTTTCATATTGCTTAGCAGCAGCTCGAAATATTTGTTGGAAGAAACGCTGCCTGCCAGGCTCTGGGGACACACACAAAGATGATTAAGATCAAGCCCCGCCTCTGGAGACTGGCATTCTGAGATAAACATGCCCCACATGGGCCGTGGCGAGGGAGCTGGCACCATGTGTGCAGTGGTGGGCGGAGCCTCCCTTCCCAAGCACCTAGCTATGGCCGCACACCTCCTTTACGTTTTTCTCTGCCCGGGCTGTTTACGCCCGGCCTCGGCACTCACAGCCTCCTTGTCTGCAACGTCCTTTCCCATCCTTGAATATCCAGTTGCTGTGGGTCGCTCCCGGGGGGCCTCGGTGTGGAGAACGAGTTCACGACCGCCTTCCCCACTACACTGCCAGGAAACACCTGGATGGCAAGCAGGGAACCTCCACCCCAGCAGGCACCAGACGCGCCTGGAGAAGAGCGGGCATTGTCCCGAGAGGCCCAGGCCTGCTTGTCCCCGCAGAGCTGTCCTGCCCCCAGCCTTGCAAGACCACCTGCTCAAGGCTGCTTCCCTACTCTGGTTGGCACCGGCTATGGCCACCCCAGCTGAGCCATCTGTGCCCCCACGTCCAGTGGCCAGGACTCTCTAGGGCCCTCCGACTCTCAGCTGTTCCTCCTGCTCTTGCCCTGAGCTCCAGAACCTTTGATCCTGAGCCCAAAGACCCAAAATCCCCACTTGGCTGTCCCAGCCTTGTCCAGGGCTGGCCAGCTTAGGAACCCACAGCTAACTCTGTGTGTGTGTGTGTGTGTGTGTGTGTGTGGAATGATAAGGGCAGCCGAGGCGTCGGCCTTTGACCTGATCACAGCCTCAGCCTTCCAAGCCCGCTGCGGATGCCTGGCGCCAAGGGAACACCCCACCTGAGGGCTGGGTCAGCTGGAGGCTGGCAGCTGTCCTCAGAGAAGGAAGGAGGCTCACTGGCCTTGGGTACTTACCCCCACTGAGCCTCAGTTTCTTCAACTGCAAAAGGGGGAGTAACAGCGGCCTAGCCTCCCTCATTGGGGCATGGGACTTCGCGGACACCATTTAGCACAGTGCCCACCTCCTAGGAAGTCCCCAGAAACGATCCAGGCCGCCATGAGGCTTGGAGAGTTGGCGCCCAGCCCAAGAACGAAGCTGAGCGAACTGAGGTGCAGGGCTGGAGGGGGGACAGCATCGGACCCCCACCCCAGACCGCTATCACAAAGTGGACCCCACCCTGCTGTGATCCCAGCCTGCGTGATAGCTCAGGTCCTGCACCTCGGGTTGCTGGCCTCTGCCTGAGTTACCCCCTCTTCTTGACAGAGAGGAATTACCACATCCCTCCCCTACTTCTGGGACAAGCAAGCGGGGCCTGGGACACTGACCCAAATGGCCAAAGGAACCAAGAAGAGAGCTCATCACAGTCCAAGAAAAGCGGAGGGGCGCTCTTCCCCGCGTTCCCGGCCAGTCTCGGTCCGTCTCCGGCCCTCAGTGTGCCCCACTGTTCCCCAAGGGGGCAGATCGTCCACGGGCGTTTGCAGCTGGACTTCCCGCTTCTGAACACGGTGGCGCCCCGCCGCACACCCGGGACCGGGCCCACGCCTTCTCACGGTTGGGGGACAAGGGCGCCAGGTCCAGGAGGACAAGGCAACCCGGTCTGGCAAGGGGGATCGGGGCGCGTGTCCAGCTGGCCCCGTCCCGTCCGAGCTCCAGAGCGCGGCCCAGGAGGCGGTCGGCCCAAGGTCGCGCGGCCGGACCCTCGTTCCCCGGGGACAGGGCTGAGCCCTGGGAAAGCACTGACCCGGCTCGAGCGGCGGCCCCGCTGCCTCCGCCTCCGTCCTCATGACCCAGGCGGCGCAGCGCGCCCATGGCCCCGGCGCGGCGCAGGCTGCGGCTCCGGCTGGGGAGGGAGCGCGGCTGCTGCGTGTCGGGTCCGCGGCTGCCGAGGGAGGGGAGGCGGCTGCCCGGCGCCCGGAGCCCCGCCCTGGCCCTGCCCCGCCCGGGACCCGAAGGCCCGCCCTCTTTCCAGCCCCCGCCCCCGCCCAGGCCCTGGGCCCCCCAGTCGCTTGATGGAAGTCTTCCCGGGCCATTCGCGGCCTCGCCTTCTGGTGGTTCCGCCCCTTTCCCAGCCCCGCGTGGAGGCAAGGCCCTTCCCCCTGCTCTCTGGAAGCCCCGCCCCTGTCCCGAAGCCCCGCACCGAAGCCTGGAGCTCTTGTGTATCTTGCTGCTGGCGCTTCCCCGCGCACGGCTGGGCTTCCAGGAGATCCAACCCCTCTCCGACCCCCTTTAGGGATGACCCTAGGCCGGCCCCGTTTTACTCTATACCTCAATTTCTCCATCTGTACAATGAGCTCCCTTGCCTCGCTCGGGGCTCTCCTTAACTGCCGGGTTCCAAACGCTAAATTGCGAGGGCAAGTCCTGACTTCTGGCAACACCGCCTGTCGCCCCGATCCGAGGGCCCAGGTCCCGCATCCCAGCCTCGCTGTCCAGCCAGGCCCTGGTGTGGAGTACCTGCAAGCGCGAGCACCCCTCTCCCCTTGCCGGACCGAAGGTCGGTGTTTCCGGCGACACCCCGGCCCTGTCATCGGAGCTCTTTTTCCAGCGCCGGAACTATAGTGTCACGGCCCACGTTTCCCAGCCGGCTGAGTGAGGCGTGACAGCGCTCACCACCGGAGAAAGGAAAGGGGCGGGCTCCGCGCGCGGCATTTTGGGAACGCGGTGTCTTCTGGGAGCGCGGGCCCGCCATTCGCTCACGCCTTTGCTACCGCCGGAGTCGCTGCCGCACGGAAGAAGCGGAAGAGAAGGCCGCAGCCGGTGAGGAGAGGCTGGCGACGGGGGAGGCGAGGCCGAGGCGCGCATGAGGAGCCGGGGCTGGGAAACGACGCGCTGCCTGGGGCTCCGCGGGGCTGCGGGAGCTACTGGCCGGGCCAGCAGCGTCGCCTCCCTCGCGCCTGGGAGTGTCTTACCTTGTTCCAAAACTGCGTGTCGCACAGTGTCTTTTGAAATACTCAAGCCATAATCTTGAATTGATTTCTGAGTGCTTACGCCCTTTCCCCCAGTTCTGTCTGAAATACCGTTTCCAACGTTCCTTTGCACCTCGAACCACTCTCCTGCCTCCCACGCTGGGGCGGAAGCTTTAACTGTTGCTGCTGCTGCTTTGGGTCATTCCTTTCGCAGGATCCTGCGGTGGCTTCCCCGTGTCTGCAGCCTAAAATCCGAACTCCTAAAGCTGGAACTCGGGAGTTCCCGCCAAGGGAAACCAACTTTGCCAACGTCACGGTCCCCTGGGGGCCCACCCTGTCCGAGCCTTCAGCCCTTGCCCATGTCGTAGGAAAAAAAATTAGCGTATTTCCCTTTCAGTAGGTCCAGTCAGGTGCTTGCCTGATTAGCGTTTTCTAGGGAAGCAAACCCTTCTGCTTGTAGCATTTTGTTTCTTTATAAACACTGTGGCCTCTTTCCTTGAACCCCTGTGGTGATGTAACCCACCCACTGCCATTCAGTCCATTGCAACTCCTAGCGACCCCATTGGGTTTTCCAGGTGGTAAATCTTTGTGGAAGTAGGTCGTCCCATCTTCCTCTTTCTATTGGGTTTGAACCGCCAGCTTTCTGGTTGGCAGTCAAATGCCTTAGGCACTGTGCCACCAGAGCTCCTTATGGTGATGTAAATGGGGTGCCAGACTGCACTAACTGCCATCAAGTCAATTCCAACTCATAACTACCCCCTTTGGGTTTCCAAGGCTGTGGATCTTTTTGGAAGCAGACTGCCTCATCTGTCTTCAGTGGAGCACCTGGTGGGCTTGAACTTACCGACCTTTTGGTTAGCAGCCAAATGCTTTAACCACTACACCACCAGGGCTCCTTAAATGGGGTGCCAGAAGGCACCAGGTGTCTAAACCTCAAAACATAACCCCCCTTCCCTAGATTTGCTGGTAGAATCTTTGGTCTGTCTTACCCACCCTGATAACCACTGTTGTTGATAGTGCTATGTGCCATTGAGTTGGACCTGACTCATAGCGACCCCTCCTTGGGTTCCCGAGGTGATATCACTGTGGAAGTACATTGCCCAACCTTCTGCCCGAGGAGTGGCTGGTGGGGTTGAACCACCAGCCTTCTGGCCACATGAAGTGTGGGTAATGTGAGTAAAGAACTGAGTTTCTCATTTCTGTTTCATCTTTAAAAAACCTAAGTCACGTGTGGGTTCTGGTCACATGTTGGACAGCTCAGGGCTATAGCGTGAGTGCTCAGTGTGGGGTCACACACAGCAGTGAGTTGGCAGGTGTATCTATCACCTTCCCCTTCGATACTGGTTAACGGTCGTGTCGATGAGGCTGAAGAGATGTGATAGTCCTCCAGTGTTTCTTACAGAAGGATCGGCATGAGGCTGCTCCCAGGTGTCCAGCTTTTCCAGACTGCTGTCCCACTCCATCATCTCTCACATCAACTCTTCTTCCTCTCCTCGGTACTCTCCCTCCCAGCTTAAGCTTCCTCATAGTGCCATAATGTCCCACAGAACTCACACACTGCCATGGAAGTGGCTCACGTGGTGGTGGAGGCTGGAAGGCTGGCAAGCCCCAAGTCCGTGGGTAGGTCTCGAGGATTCCCCCCACTCGCATGTTTGTAGGGGCTGGTGGCACAGTGCCTAAGACATTTGACTGCTAACTGGAGGGTCAGCGGTTCAAACCCACCAACCACTCCATTGAAAGAAGGTGGGGCAATCTACTTCTGTAAAGATTTACTGCCTTGAAAACCCAGTGGGGGTAATTATGAGTTGGAATTGACTTGATGGCAGTTAGTTTGGTTTGACACCCCATTTACATCACCATAAGGAGCTCTAGTGGCACAGTACTTAAGGCATTTGACTGCTAACCAGAAGGTCGGTGGTTCAAATCCACCAGCCACTCCATTGAAAGAAGATGGGGCGATCTACTTCCATAAAGATTTACCACCTTGGAAACCCAACGGGGCTTGCTATGAGTTGGAATCAATTCCATGGCAGTGAGTTTTTTGTGTTTTGTTTTGTTTTTGTGACCCCAAATCGGCGGATCAGATAACCGCCTGCTGTCGCAAGTCTAGGGGTGAGATGATGACGAACCAAACGTGGGACCAGAGCAAGAGAGCGACCCTTCCCAGAGCGTTCACACGTATACCCTCAAGGAAACTAAGAGTGGTGGCTTGAGCCACCCCTCCAGCAAGGCGGGACTCGATACATCCCACCCTGAGCTGGCACAGAGCCTAGGACAACGCATCACAAAGTGAGGATGGTGGCTAGAAGGGCCAGGCTGCAATTCACTGCCCTGCAGAAAGCAAGGAGAGAGACGGGAGGCACTCTTTTCATTCCCATGAGCCTTCTCTGCCCAGCCTCCCTTTGCTCCCTAACCCTCATCTTGCATGTGTTTCCCTGGTAGGTTTCTCCAAGCTAGGAGCTATGCACCTTTGCCAGTAGCTCAGGAAATGCAGTGCAGTGTTATGGAGTGCCAGGCCCTAAAGGAAGGAGCTCTGGTAGCACAGTATCCAAGGCACTTGGCTGCTAACCAGAAGGTTGGTGGTTCAAACCCACCAGCTGCTCTGTGGAAGAAAGTATAGGCAATCTACTTCTGTAAAGATTTACCGCCTTGGAAAACCCAACAGGGGTTGCTTCGAGTTGGAATCAACTCGATGGCAGTGGGTTTGGTTGGTTTTGATTTAGACCCTGCAGAGGGAATCGTGCGCCATGTGTCCTCTCAGGCTCTGGGAGATGAACTGACTGCTGTCTCTTCCTGCAGAACGTTCTTCCCGCCAAGATGTCTATCGGAGTGCCGATCAAAGTCCTGCACGAGGCCGAGGGCCACATCGTGACATGTGAGACAAACACTGGCGAGGTGTACCGGGGGAAGCTTATCGAGGCCGAGGACAACATGAACTGCCAGGTACCCTGCGTCGCCCGGGAACCCGCTCCGGAGCACAGAACCGTGCTGACGGGGCTCCTCCGGGAACTCGTCCTGTCTCAGCTGTGCTGACTCAGGGCCAGAGGTGCTTTTACAGGTGCTGGCCACGTGGACAGGAGCAGGAGGCATGCTGTCTCGAAGCAGGGATGCCACTGGGAAGGTTGGGATCTCTCACCTTCCCTTCATTCTTCCCATGCCACTGTCGTCTTCTCCCATATTTGGGGGCCTGTTTGAGATCACTGGCTCTAGTCCTTTCAGGGTCAAGGCCGTTATCTGTTTGCCCACGTGTTTGCATAACACATGGCAGTTTGCAGAATCTCCCCCTCACACTGTATTTATGTGCCCTCCCATTGGAGGAGGGCTCCCGTTTGATCATTGCAGCTAGCTTGTGAGGTTGGCAGGGTTGCTGATGGTTTATCTTCCATAAAACAAGGAGGATGGGGTTAAAAGATTTGTGCACCGAATGGCACTGTTAATAAGATGGTGGCTTAGTCTCCTGATCTAGTGCCCTTCCCATGGCTCGAGTTGGCCTTGCCCTAAAAAGGATGGATACAAGAATGCCGTCATCGTTGGTAGGTTCCATTGAGTCGGCTTGACTTATACAGACCCCATGTACAACAGAATGACACACTGCCCAGTCCTGCGCCAGCCTCTCAATCCCTGCTATACCTGAGCCCATTGCTGCAGCCACCATGTCAGTCCATCTTGTTGAGGGCCTTCCCCTTTTTCACTCACCATCCACTTTACCAAGTAAGACATCCTTCAGCGCCCCTCATGCTGCATGGCGTGTTCCCTCGAAGGGAGCGCTGAGCGTCTCAGGACTGCCCCAGGGATAATCCCTGCCCCTGGGCACATTTGTCAGGACCTGAGGACTGTGTGTGCAGCAGCTGGTGTGCTACGCACCTACCTCATGGACATTCGAGGTATTTTTATCACGCTGCAGGTCAGGCTTCCTAACTGTTCACCTGCTGCTTTGCAGGCTGCACTCCTTCACCTGG